ATTCTTTATTCATGGCTGTGTTCTTAAGGAAAATTGTGAGTGAGCCCACTCCCTTGGCTGAGAAGCAACCCCACACATGAATGGTCTCAGGATGCTTTACTGTTGGCATGACACAGGACTGATGGTAGCGCTCACCTCGTCTTCTCCGGACAAACTTTTTTCCGGATGTCGCAAACAATCGGAAAGGGGATTCATCAGAGAAAATGACTTTACCCCAGTCCTCAGCAGTCCAATCCCTGTACCTTTTGCAGAATATCAGTCTGTCCCTGATGTTTTTCCTGGAGAGAAGTGGTTTCCTCGCTGCCCTTCTTGACATCAGGCCATCCTCCAAAAGTCTTCGCCTCACTGTGCGTGCAGATGCACTCACACCTTCCTGCTGCCATTCCTGAGCAAGCTCTGCACTGGTGGTGCCCCGATCACGCAGCTGAATCAACTTTAGGAGACGGTCCTGGCGCTTGCTGGACTTTCTTGGGCACCCTGAAGCCTTCTTCACAACAATTGAACCTCTCTCTTTGAAGTTCTTGATGATCCGATAAATGGTTGATTTAGGTGCAATCTTACTAGCAGCAATATCCTTGCCTGTGAAGCCCTTTTTGTGCAAAGCAATGAGGACGGCACGTGTTTCCTTGCAGGTAACCATGGTTAACAGTGGAAGAACAATGAGTTCAAGCACCACCCTCCTTTTAAAGCTTCCAGTCTGTTATTCTAACTCAATCAGCAAGACCGAGTGGTCTCCAGCCTTGTCCTCGTCAACAACCTGTGTTAACGAGAGAATCACTGACATGATGTCAGCTGGTCCTTTTGTGGCAGGGCTGAAGTGCAGTGGAAATGTTTTTGGGGCATTCAGTTAATTTTTACTGAGGCAGCAGACTTTGTGAAAATTAATGTGTGTCATTCTCAAAACTTTTGACCACGACTGTATACACAGATACAAACAGTATAGTATAATTGACGTGTTTCAACATAGATAAGTTGGTTCAAAACAAATACTCCTATCATTGCGCATATGTAGAGAATATTATTTGGGATTCACTTTCATCATAACACAAACACACATCACCTCTTGTTTCTGACAAAGAGGTTCTAAGAATGGTCCAAACATTTCAAATACAAAATAAATATCATTTTAAGAGGATTCGTTCTCTTAAATATTTGATGAGAGAAGATTGGAAAAACATATTTCCATACATCAACTTCATTTTCTTAAAAGGACAAAGCATTTGTATTAATTAAGAAATCCTTTTAGTTGAAAGACTTTGTGCTGTCCTTATTCTCTGCTACTAATTTGACGTGAGACACTTTCAGATTCATTGAGGAGCAAGTCGGTCTTCAAAATGGCCCCCTCTTCCCTACATAGCGCACTACTACCCACAGGCATCTTTTCAAAGCAGTGCACTACATAGGGAATAGGGTGCCATTTGGGACAAACACGAAGACTAGAAAGGAGAATTAGAACAAGAATGACAGGTAGCTAGGCAACACGGAATAACATGTCGACAGACAAGAGGAACGGGAGAAAACATTGAAGACAGTCCAGACTTCCCCAAGAAACGTTAAGACTATTCTCCAGGAACTGTAAAGTAAGTTGGATTCTGCCGTGGAGTGAATGATGAGAAGAGAGGGGGTTGGCTACTTGAGCTAAGTGAATGATGAGAAGGAGAGGGGGTTGGCTACTTGAGCTAGTGAATGATGAGAAGAGAGGGGGTTGGCTACTTGAGCTAGTGAATGAAGAGAAGAGAGGGGGTTGGCTACGTGAGCTAGTGAATTCTGAGAAGAGAGGGGGTTGGCTACTTGAGCTAGTGAATGATGAGAAGAGAGGGGGTTGGCTACTTGAGCTAGTGAATGATGAGAAGAGAGGGGGTTGGCTACTTGAGCTAGTGAATGATGAGAAGAGAGGGGGTTGGCTACTTGAGCTAGTGAATGATGAAAAGAGAGGGGGTTGGCTACTTGAGCTAGTGAATGATGAGAAGAGAGGGGGTTGGCTACTTGAGCTAGTGAATGAAGAGAAGAGAGGGGGTTGGCTACTTGAGCTAGTGAATGATGAGAAGAGAGGGGGTTGGCTACTTGAGCTCGTGAATGATGAGAAGAGAGGGGGTTGGCTACTTGAGCTCGTGAATGATGAGAAGAGAGGGGGTTGGCTACTTGAGCTAGTGAATGATGAGAAGAGAGGGGGTTGGCTACTTGAGCTAAGTGAATGATGAGAAGAGAGGGGGTTGGCTACTTGAGCTAGTGAATGATGAGAAGAGAGGGGGGTTGGCTACTTGAGCTAGTGAATGATGAGAAGAGAGGGGGTTGGCTACTTGAGCTAAGTGAATGATGAGAAGAGAGGGGGTTGGCTACTTGAGCTAGTGAATGATGAGAAGAGAGGGGGGTTGGCTACTTGAGCTCGTGAATGATGAGAAGAGAGGGGGTTGGCTACTTGAGCTAGTGAATGATGAGAAGGAGAGGGGGTTGGCTACTTGAGCTAGTGAATGATGAGAAGAGAGGGGGTTGGCTACTTGAGCTAGTGAATGATGAGAAGAGAGGGGGTTGGCTACTTGAGCTAGTGAATGATGAGAAGAGAGGGGGTTGGCTACTTGAGCTAGTGAATGATGAGAAGAGAGGGGGTTGGCTACTTGAGCTAGGGAATGAAGAGAAGAGAGGGGGTTGGCTACTTGAGCTAGTGAATGATGAGAAGAGAGGGGGTTGGCTACTGAGCTAGTGAATGATGAGAAGAGGGGGTTGGCTACTTGAGCTCGTGAATGATGAGAAGAGAGGGGGTTGGCTACTTGAGCTCGTGAATGATGAGAAGAGAGGGGGTTTGGCTACTTGAGCTAGTGAATGATGAGAAGAGAGGGGGGTTGGCTACTTGAGCTAAGTGAATGATGAGAAGAGAGGGGGGTTGGCTACTTGAGCTAGTGAATGATGAGAAGGAGAGGGGGTTGGCTACTTGAGCTAGTGAATGATGAGAAGAGAGGGGGTTGGCTACTTGAGCTAGTGAATGATGAGAAGAGAGGGGGTTGGCTACTTGAGCTAGTGAATGATGAAAAGAGAGGGGGTTGGCTACTTGAGCTAGTGAATGATGAGAAGAGAGGGGGGTTGGCTACTGAGCTAGTGAATGATGAGAAGAGAGGGGGTTTGGCTACTTGAGCTAGTGAATGATGAGAAGAGAGGGGGTTGGCTACTTGAGCTAGTGAATGATGAGAAGAGAGGGGGTTGGCTACTTGAGCTAAGTGAATGATGAGAAGAGAGGGGGTTGGCTACTTGAGCTAGTGAATGATGAGAAGAGAGGGGGTTGGCTACTTGAGCTAAGTGAATGATGAGAAGAGAGGGGGGTTGGCTACTTGAGCTAGTGAATGATGAGAAGAGAGGGGGTTGGCTACTTGAGCTCGTGAATGATGAGAAGAGAGGGGGTTGGCTACTTGAGCTAGTGAATGATGAGAAGGAGAGGGGGTTGGCTACTTGAGCTAGTGAACTGATGAGAAGAGGAGGGGGGTTGGCTACTTGAGCTAGTGAATGATGAGAAGAGAGGGGGTTGGCTACTTGAGCTAGTGAATGATTGAAAAGAGAGGGGGTTGGCTACTTGAGCTAGTGAATGATGAGAAGAGAGGGGGTTGGCTACTTGAGCTAGTGAATGATGAGAAGAGAGGGGGTTGGCTACTTGAGCTAGTGAATGATGAGAAGAGAGGGGGTTGGCTACTTGAGCTAGTGAATGATGAGAAGAGAGGGGGTTGGCTACTTGAGCTAAGTGAATGATGAGAAGAGAGGGGGTTGGCTACTTGAGCTAGTGAATGATGTAGTTCATGGTCCTTCAAGACAAATTCAATGATTGATTGACTGACTGATTGATTACCCGACTAGAGGCAGCAGTAGCAGCAGTGGATGATTAATTAATTGATTAACCCCTACCTGACTAGAGGCAGGATGAGGTAGTGTATGATTGATCGACTGATTAATTACCTGGCTAGAGGCAGCATGAGGTAGTGTATGATTGATCGACTGATTGATTACCTGACTAGTGGCAGCATGAGGTAGTGTATGATTGATTGACTGATTGATTGATTACCTGACTAGAGGCAGCATGAGGTAGTGTATGATTGATAGACTGATTGATTACCTGACTAGTGGCAGCATGAGGTAGTGTATGATTTATAGACTGATTGATTGATTACCTGACTAGAGGCAGGATGAGGTAGCGTATGATTGATTGACTGATTGATTACCTGACTAGAGGCAGGATGAGGTAGCGTATGATTGATTGACTGATTGATTACCTGACTAGTGGCAGCATGAGGTAGTGTATGATTGATTGACTGATTGATTGAATACCTGACTAGAGGCAGCATGAGGTAGTGTATGATTGATAGACTGATTGATTACCTGATTAGTGGCAGCATGAGGTAGCGTACGATTGATCGACAGATTGATTGATTACCTGACTAGTGGCAGCATGAGGTAGCGTACGATTGATAGACTGATTGATTGATTACCTGACTAGTGGCAGCATGAGGTAGCGTACGATTGATAGACTGATTGTTGATTACCTGATTAGTGGCAGCATGAGGTAGCGTACGATTGATCGACAGATTGATTGATTACCTGACTAGTGGCAGCATGAGGTAGTGTATGATTGATCGACTGATTGATTGATTACCTGACTAGTGGCAGCATGAGGTAGCGTACGATTGATAGACTGATTGATTGATTACCTGACTAGTGGCAGCATGAGGTAGTGTATGATTGATCGACAGATTGATTGATTACCTGACTAGTGGCAGCATGAGGTAGTGTATGATTGATTAACTGATTGATTGATTACCTGACTAGTGGCAGCATGAGGTAGTGTATGATTGATCGACTGATTGACTGATTACCTGACTAGTGGCAGCATGAGGTAGTGTATGATTGATCGACTGATTGATTGATTACCTGACTAGTGGCAGCATGAGGTAGTGTATGATTGATAGACTGATTGATTACCTGACTAGTGGCAGCATGAGGTAGTGTATGATTGATTACCTGACTAGTGGCAGCATGAGGTAGTGTATGCTGCTGGAGTCCTTCTCCTCAACAGAGGCAGGGTCAATCAGGTGACGCAGGTTCTGGTACATCATCTCCGTAATAAAGGGGGTGAAGGGAGCCTAGAAGGAAGGAGAGAGAGCAGTTAGAGAAAGACAATGATACTATAATGCTTTACTAGTGGGGAGGAGGACAGAAAAGTAGACTACAACTATCTTACCATTCCAACTCAGGGAGACATTGTCCTCATGCAAAGACACCTGCGTTGTGAACTAATGCAGTTTAAGTAAAAATGATCATCTGCAGCGCAGATCTGTTCTAACTTTTCTTTAACAATTTCTGCGAGGAGGAACTTTAGTTTAACCAGAGATTGAGTTACCTTGCGTGATAAGAGGTACCGCACAGCATCGCGGCGGTCTAAGGAACAGCATCGCGGCGGTCTAAGGAACAGCATCGCGGCGGTCTAAGGAACAGCATCGCGGCGGTCTAAGGAACAGCATCGCGGCGGTCTAAGGAACAGCATCGCGGCGGTCTAAGGAACAGCATCGCGGCGGTCTAAGGAACAGCATCGCGGCGGTCTAAGGAACAGCATCGCAGCGGTCTAAGGAACAGCATCGCAGCGGTCTAAGGAACAGCATCGCAGCGGTCTAAGGAACAGCATCGCAGCGGTCTAAGGAAACAGCATCGCAGCGGTCTAAGGAACAGCATCGCAGCGGTCTAAGGAACAGCATCGCAGCGGTCTAAGGAACAGCATCGCAGCGGTCTAAGGAACAGCATCGCAGCGGTCTAAGGAACAGCATCGCAGCGGTCTAAGGAACAGCATCGCAGCGGTCTAAGGAACAGCATCGCAGCGGTCTAAGGAACAGCATCGCAGCGGTCTAAGGAACAGCATCGCGGCGGTCTAAGGAACAGCATCGCGGCGGTCTAAGGAACAGCATCGCGGCGGTCTAAGGAACAGCATCGCGGCGGTCTAAGGAACAGCATCGCGGCGGTCTAAGGAACAGCATCGCGGCGGTCTAAGGAACAGCATCGCAGCGGCTGCTGCTACTACTACTACTACTGCTGCTACTACTGTGGTCCTCTGTAGCTCAGCTGGTAGAGCACGGCGCTTGTAACGCCAAGGTAGTGGGTTCGATCCCCGGGACCACCCATACACAAAAAAAAATTTATGCATGCATGACTGTAAGTCGCTTTGGATAAAAGCGTCTGCTAAATGGCATATTATTATTATTATTACTACTACTACCACTACTACCACTACTACTACTACTACTACTACTACTACTACTACTACTACTGCTGTTACTGCTGTTACTTCTTCTACGAACCCCAGGCTGTGTCAATACCGGCCGTGACATAGGGCGGCGCACAATTGGCCCAGCGTCTTCCGGGTTAGGGGAGGGTTTGGCCGGGGGGGCTTTACTTGGCTCATCGCGCTCTAGCGACTCCTTGTGGCGGGCCGGGCGCCTGCAGGCTGACACATTGGTGCAGCTGGCTTCCCGGGTTAAGTGAGCAGGTGTTAAGAAGCGAGGTTTGGCGGGTCATGTTTCGGAGGACTCTCCCGAGCCCGTTGGGGTGTTGAAGCGATGAGACAAGATCGTAATCATGAAATTGGGGAGAAAAAGTGGGGAAAGATTACAACAAAAACGAAGAAAAATAAATAAGAATGCGCCGGTGCATTCCTTCCAAGCGCAGCTGTTTTGGTGAAGAGAAAATGTGGCCCTCAATACACTATTTTCAATGGAAGCAGATGTCATTGAGCAGAACAGAGTTCAGCCAGGTTAAACATCATGCACTTTACACATACACACACACAAACAGTGCTGTGTCACTCACCATCAGTCTGCACATGGAGAACAGAACACTGAAGAGATTCTCCAGAGCCCACAGACAGTCCTCTGTTCCACTCTCTCCCTGTAGGGTTACGATACACAGTTACAATCATCATCTTCCTCCTCCTCCTCCTCGTCCTCCTCCTCCAGGCAGCAGCTACTACTGCCATATTCAAACTGGCCACACGCACCTACCATTCAACACACCCTAACATGCTCCATCCATTCACTACACACCCTAACATGCTCCATCCATTCACTACACACCCTAACATGCTCCATCCATTCACTACACACCCTAACATGCTCCATCCATTCACTACACACCCTAACATGCTCCATCCATTCACTACACACCCTAACATGCTCCATCCATTCACTACACACCCTAACATGCTCCATCCATTCACTACACACCCTAACATGCTCCATCCATTCACTACACACCCTAACATGCTCCATCCATTCACTACACACCCTAACATGCTCCATCCATTCACTACACACCCTAACATGCTCCATCCATTCACTACACACCCTAACATGCTCCATCCATTCACTACACACCCTAAACATGTTCCATCCATTCACTACACACCCTAACATGCTCCATCCATTCACTACACACCGTAACATGCTCCATCCATTCACTACACACCCTAACATGCTCCATCCATTCATTCACTACACACCCTAACATGCTCCATCCATTCACTACACACCCTAACATGCTCCATCCATTCACTAAACACCCTAAACATGCTCCATCCATTCACTACACACCCTAACATGCTCCATCCATTCACTACACACCCTAACATGCTCCATCCATTCACTACACACCCTAAACATGCTCCATCCATTCACTACACACCCTAAACATGTTTTCTGTGCCACCATGTCACAACAGATCTTTACCCAGACAGTCCCCTGGTGACCATCTCACTTCAATTCACATTCCTTCACTCAGTATAGCATTAGTCAACAGAGAAACAGTGTTATAGCGGTTACTGTATCTTTAACACATTTGACTGCATCAGTGTTTGAGGGTGAACTCACCTTGAGACGTCTGCGGTTCGTCCTCACGTACCAGTTGGTGAGCATGTCCACAAACTTGACAAGCTTTGGCACCACCGTGTACAGCCTGTACGCTGCAAGGAGACACTCTGATTACAACTCACGTCTGGAGGAGAGGGAGTGGCCGGAAAGGTTGTCTCTATAATGACAGACCCATAACAGTACCAGAGACTTGTGTAGTGAACTGGGGGGGGGGGGGGGGGGGGGGGGGGGTCATGTGGTCAGCATTGACGCATTGAAAGAATGATGTATTCATTTACATTACATTTACATTTACGTCATTTAGCAGACGCTCTTATCCAGAGCGACTTACAGTTTAGTGCATACATTATTATTTTTCATACCCCCTGTGGGAATCGAACCCACAACCCTGGCGTTGCAAACGCCATGCTCTACCAACTGAGCTACATCCCTGCCGGCCATTCCCTCCCCTACCCTGGACAACGCTGGGCCAATTGCGCGCCGCCCCATGGGTCTCCCGGTCGTGGCCGGCTACGACAGAGCCTGGATTCGAACCAGGATCTCTAGTGGCACAGCTAGCACTGCGATGCAGTGCCTTAGACCACTGCGCCACTGTGTTGTTATTGTACCAACCATCCAGCTCAGCCTTGAAGAACTGGATGTGAGACTTGGTGAATGACTGGATCCACCAGGGGTGAAACATTTTACCAAATCCACGGTTCGGTAAGTATTGCGGTTTTGGGGTCACGGTTCTGTTTGACCTCGGTACAGCTGGAAAATGAAATGCCGATACTTACTGTAGTTCATTTCTGTTTTGGCAAAATATATTAAACCAACCCAGGAATAGATCATGAGCCATATAATGTAGGGCTTTACAATATTTGTTAATAATTGAGTTTTTTCCCCAAATTTCGTTTCTCCGTTTAGTTTTTCCAGGTTTCAGATTATTCCCAGTTTTTCATTTTTTTTTGCTCTGAAAATCACACACGCAAAATCAAATAATTCTGCCAGGTATGCACTGACTACTTTGTAGTTAGGCAATTGACAAATAATATTTTAAAGAGTCATTTTATCCACAGTAACCTGTAAAATGGTATAGCTAATAAGCACCCAGCTATCGAAATGGATAATGTGTTTCTAAATTCTCCTAAACTGCCTCTCAGTAAATCTGTCACAGCAAGTTCTAGTCCTCTCTTCTGCTCACATCATCAGTCTAGGGACTGAAAACAGACAACAAAGGTTGTCATGAGGTAATGTTTTTAGAAAAAATTTGCATATGCACCTTAAATCTTTAATAACATAAAATTTATTTTTTATATTCACCAATTTAATAGGTTTAGCGACATGAAAATGATTCCGTCATGACAGACGATAGATATTTGTCAAATGGAAGAGACCATGTAGAAATGCGCTGTGTAGAAGATTTTTTTGTATTCATTGTATTTTAAAATAAAATATTATCCTTGGACACAAAAAAAATAACACATCGCGTCAATTTCCTAGTTAACCTTAAATCAAGGTTTTTGGGAAAGCCTTTCCATCTACCAGAAGAAGGTTATCATTAGCATCATCGCTAACGGCTACACAAAGTGGTAGGCGCACACAAACTGGAGCATTCCCGCGCCAATGCCTCTTCACGGGGGGGCATTCCCGCGCCATTGCCTCTTCACGGGGGGCATTCCCGCGCCATTGCCTCGCCATTGCCTCTTCACGGGGGGCATTCCCGCGCCATTGCCTCTTCACGGGGGGCATTCCCGCGTCATTGCCTCTTCACGGGGGGCATTCCCGCGCCATTGCCTCTTCACGGGGGGCATTCCCGCGCCATTGCCTCTTCACGGGGGGCATTCCCGCGCCATTGCCTCTTCACGGGGGGCATTCCCGCGCCATTGCCTCTTCACGGGGGGCATTCCCGCGCCATTGCCTCTTCACGGGGGGCATTCCCGTGCCATTGCCTCGCCATTGCCTCTTCACGGGGGGCATTCCCGCGCCATTGCCTCTTCACGGGGGGCATTCCCGCGCCATTGCCTCTTCACGGGGGGCATTCCCGCGCCATTGCCTCTTCACAGGGGGCATATTCCCGTGCCATTGCCTCTTCACGGGGGCATTCCCGTGCCATTGCCCCTTCACGGGAGCACGATGATGGAGGAATCCTCCAATTAAGAGTATAATTTGTATTACAACGTGTGCATTAGGCTCTAATAGCCTGAAACATTTTTCTCAGCTCAGATTTCCTCAAGAGGCATGCAGCCTAGCCTAGCCTAGCCTATAGGATTGCATTTGTTTGTGTAGGTATTCATTCGGGTTCACAGTGCGGACCGAACCGATGTCCCCGTATGAATGTGTACAGTTACACCCCTAGGATCCACTGTGTGTGTGTAGTACGTGTGTGTGTGTGTGTGTGGCTTTGTGAAGCTCACCATCCATCTCAGCCTTGAAGAACTGGATGAGAGACTGGGTGAAGGACTGGATCCACTTGTCCATGATGTTGTCACTGCACTTGGCTGTGCCCTCGTTGTATAGGAAGGTGATGCCGTCCTCCTGAAGGGCAAAGGTCACAGGGCAAAAAGGTCAGACAGAGAACCGGACACAGAGAAAGAGAGAGAAAGAGAGCAAGAGAGAAAGAGAAAGTTAGAGTTTAATGGCTGTGATAGGAGAAAACTGATGTTGGATCAACATTGTAGTTACTCCACAATACTAACATACAGTGCATTCGGAAAGTATTCAGACCCCTTGACTTTTTCCACATTTTGTTACGTTACAGCCTTATTCTAAAATGGATTACATAAAAAATAAAAAAACTCAATCTACACACAATACTCCATAATGACAAAGCGAAAACAGGTTTTTAGAAATGTTTGCAAATGTATTAAAAATAAAAAACAGAAATACCTTATTTACCTAAGTATTCAGACCCTTTGCTATGAGACTCGAAATTGAGCTCAGGTGCATCCTGTTTCCATTGATCATCCTTGAGATGTTTCTACAACTTGATTGGAGTCCACCTGTGGTAAATTCAATTGATTGGACATGCTTTGGAAAGGCACACACCTGTCTATATAAGGTCGCACAGTTGACAGTGCATGTCAGAGCAAAAACGAAGACATGAGGTCAAAGGAATTGTCCGTAGAGCTCCGAGACAGGACTGTGTCGAGGCACAGATCTGGGGAAGGGTAAAAAAAACATTTCTGCAGCATTGAAGGTCCCCAAGAACACAATGGCCTCTGTCATTCTTAAATGGAAGTTTGGAACCACCAAGACTCTTCCTAGAGCAAACTGAGCAATCGGGGGATAAGGTCCTTGGTCAGGGAGGTGACCAAGAACCCGATGGTCACTCTGACAGAGCTCCAGAGTTCCTGTGGAGATGGGAGAACCTTCCAGAAGGACAACCATCTCTGCAGCACACCACATTCAGGCCTTTATGGTAGAGTGGCCAGACGGAAGCCACTCCTCAGTAGAAGGCACATGACAGCCCGCTTGGAGTTTGCCAAAAGTCACCTAAGGACTCTCAGACCATGAGAAACAAGATTCTCTGGTCTGATGAAACAAAGATTGAACCCTTTGGCCTGAATGCCAAGCCTCACGTCTGGAGGAAACCTGCCATCCCTACGGTGAAGCATGGTGGTGGCAGCATCATGCTGTGGGGATGTTTTTCAGCGGCAGGGACTGGGAGACTAGTCAGGATCGAGGGAAAGATGAACGGAGCAAAGTACAGAGAGATCCTTGATGAAAACCTGCTCCAGAGCGCTCAGGACCACAGACTGGGGCGAAGGTTCATCTTCAAACGACCCTAAGCACACAGCCAAGACAACGCAGGAGTGGCTTCGGTACAAGTCTCTGAATGTCCTTGAGTGGCCCAGCCAGAGCCTGGAATTGAACACGATCGAACATCTCTGGAGAGACCTGAAAATAGCTGTGCAGTGACGCTTCCCATCCAACCTGACAGAGCTTGAGAGGATCTGCAGGGAAGAATGGGAGAAACTCCCCAAATACAGGTGTGCCAAGCTTGTAGCGTCATACCCAAGGAGACTTGAGGCTGTAATCACTGCCAAAAGGTGCTTCAACAAAGTACTGAGTAAATTGTCTGAATACTTATGTAAATGTGATATTTCAGTTGTTTCTTTTTAATTAATTCGCCACAATTTCTAAAAACCTGTTTTTGCTTTGTCATTATGGGGTGTTGAGTAGATTGATTTAATCAATTTTACAATAAGGCTGTAACGTAACAAAATGTGGAAAAAGTCAAGAGGACTGAATACTTTCTGAATGCACTGTAAGTGACTGAGTGAAAAGAAGGAAGACTCTACAGCAAACATGCATCCTGTTTGCAATAAGGCACTAAAGTAAAACTGCAAAAAATGTGGCAAAGAAATTAACTTTATGTCCTGAATACAAAGCGTTATGTTTGCGGTAATCCACTTCATATTTTCAAGCATGGTGGTGGCTGCATCATGTTATGGTTATGCTTGTCATCGGCAAGGATTAGGGAGTTTCCCCAAACATGCTCAATGGGTGACATGTCTGGTGAGTATGCAGGCCATGGAAGACGCAGGCCATGGAAGGGACATTTTTAGCTTCCAGGAATTGTGTACAGATCCTTGCGTCATGAGGCTGTGCATTATCATGCTGAAACATGAGGTGATGGTGGCGGATGAATGGCACGACAATGGGCTTCAGGATCTAGTCACGGTATCTCTGTGCATTCAAATTGCCATTGATGAAATGCAATTGTTTTTGTTGTCCATAGCCACCATGGGACACTCTGTTCACAACGTTGACATCAGCAAACCACTCGCCCACACACGCTTGTCTGCCATCTGCCCGATACAGTTGAAACCGTGATTCATCCGTGAAGAGCACACTTCTCCAGCGTGCCAGTGTCCATCGAAGTTGAGCATTTAACCCACTGTAGTCGGTTACGACGCAGAACTGAAGTCAGGTCAAGACCCTGGTGAGGACGACGAGCTTCCCTGAGACGGTCTCAGACGATCCCGCAGGTGAAGAAGCAGGATGTAGAGGTCCTGGGCTGGTTACACGTGGTTTGCGGTTGTGAGGCCTGTTGGACGTACTGCCAAATTCTCTAAAACGACGTCGGAGGTGACTTATGGTAGAGAAATTAACATTAGAGCTCTGGTGGCCATTCTTGCAGTCAGCATACCAATTGCACGCTCCTTCAAAACACTGTGGCATTGTGTTGTGTGACAAAACTGTACATTTTGAGATAAATAAAGGTTTTTGAGTGTATGGAACATTTCTGGGATCTTTTATTTCAGCACATGAAACATGGGACCAACACTTTACATGTTGGGTTTATATTTTTGTTCGGCCTACTTGCTCTACTCAGACAATCATAAATACTTCAAGTCACATATCAAAAGAGGTCTATTTCAAATACCATATCTATGATTGTCTGAAGTCAAGGTCTAATAAGTCTAATCATCAACACTCCAGTTACCCTCAGAAACCCTGGACTAATCATCAACTCTCCAGTTACCCTCAGAAACCCTGGACTAATCATCAACTCTCCAGTTACCCTCAGAAACCCTGGACTAATCATCAACTCTCCAGTTACCCTCAGAAACCCTGGACTAATCATCAACTCTCCAGTTACCCTCAGAAACCCTGGACTAATCATCAACCCTCCAGTTACCCTCAGAAACCCTGGACTAATCATCAACTCTCCAGTTACCCTCAGAAACCCTGGACTAATCACCAACTCTCCAGTTACCCTCAGAAACCCTGGACTAATCATCAACCCTCCAGTTACCATCAGAAACCCTGGACTAATCACCAACCCTCCAGTTACCCTCAGAAACCCTGGACTAATCATCAACCCTCCAGTTACCCTCAGAAACCCTGGACTAATCATCAACCCTCCCAGTTACCCTCAGAAACCCTGGACTAATCACCAACCCTCCAGTTACCCTCAGAAACCCTGGACTAATCATCAACCCTCCAGTTACCCTCAGAAACCCTGGACTAATCATCAACTCTCCAGTTACCCTCAGAAACCCTGGACTAATCATCAACCCTCCAGTTACCCTCAGAAACCCTGGACTAATCATCAACCCTCCAGTTACCCTCAGAAACCCTGGACTAATCATCAACTCTCCAGTTACCCTCAGAAAACCCTGGACTAATCATCAACCCTCCAGTTACCCTCAGAAACCCTGGACTAATCATCAACCCTCCAGTTACCCTCAGAAACCCTGGACTAATCATCAACTCTCCAGTTACCCTCAGAAACCCTGGACTAATCATCAACCCTCCAGTTACCCTCAGAAACCCTGGACTAATCATCAACCCTCCAGTTACCCTCAGAAACCCTGGACTAATCACCAACCCTCCAGTTACCCTCAGAAACCCTGGACTAATCATCAACCCTCCAGTTACCCTCAGAAACCCTGGACTAATCATCAACCCTCCAGTTACCCTCAGAAACCCTGGACTAATCACCAACCCTCCAGTTACCCTCAGAAACCCTGGACTAATCATCAACCCTCCAGTTACCCTCAGAAACCCTGGACTAATCATCAATCCTCCAGTTACCCTCAGAAACCCTGGACTAATCATCAACCCTCCAGTTACCCTCAGAAACCCTGGACTAATCATCAACCCTCCAGTTACCCTCAGAAACCCTGGACTAATCATCAACCCTCCAGTTACCCTCAGAAACCCTGGACTAATCATCATCTCTCCAGTTACCCTCAGAAACTGTCACGGATTCAGCCGAGGCTGCTCCTCCTCCTCCGCATTTGTGGCAGGTGTGCCCTTTACCCATCTCTATGGTCACGTGAGGACGGAGGGCATTCGAGGCAGGTGTGCCCTGTATATAACTCTATGGCAAGGTATTTATACGGGCAGGTTCAAGGGCGCCCCCTTTCAATCCGGGTCCTTCACACCAGTATGCGTCCTTGAAATGTGAGCACAAGTCATTTATCTTATAAAAGAGGATAAGAAGAAAGAGGACTACCTCACCGTTGTTTGTTTTGTGTAGTTGATATTGTCCCGCTAATGGCTGTGAAACGCTAACGGCTGTGAAATGCTAACGGCTCAGTCAAAAACAGCCATTTCGAGTCTTTTGATCTGTTCACTTTGGTACTTGGTAGTATTAATAGACATGTTAATAATTGTTGCACTTGTTGTGCATTGCCTTTGTTATGCTAAGTAGGCCTGCTTTATGGCTATGCTTGCTACTGTTAGCTTTATATTGTTTGTTTGCTTGCCATGCTATGCTATGCTATGCTATGCTATGCCATGCTATGCTATGCTATGCCATGCTATGCTATGCTATGCTACGCTACATAGCCGTTGATAAATTAGCCTGCTATAGCTTCGGCTTACCACGCCGCATGCTATAGCACCCCTTTCTGGCCATTCATTAACTGCTGCTATATTTATGCACAGCTTTACCAATTTATATGCTTATCGCATTTGCATATTGTCATTGACTATTGCCATTGACTACCGATTATGTTTGTTCATTGCTTTTTATAACCCGTTGTTATTTGCACCTTTCAGCGTTTACTTTTAGATAGTACATTAAAAAGTCAACCAGGTCTCAATCTCAGACAAGTCTCCTGTCAGCAACGGTTAATCGTTCCCTGACATGTATCATTCTCCATTACCTGAATCTAGAAAAGTCTCTTAAACTGAACACCACCTGCTCTTTAACTGGAATCCCAAATTTGTAAGTCGCTCTGGATAAGAGCGTCTGCTAAATGATGTAAATGTAAATGGGAATCACCGTAACTCTCACCTTAATCAGTTACAATCTTGTAACAGAAGAATATTGTGACAGGCTAGGAACCAAAAGTTTTGGTCAGTGTTTCCCTGGGTACCCTTATTAGGGGAGGACATGCAGGAAAAGTATAAAAGCACCCTTTGGTCATGTTCAGGTGAGAGCTTTGTACCTGGGAGGGCTGTTGTGTGGTTCTAGGTTGTGTGGTATTTCTGTGAGCAACCATTTTGTGACCACGCTGTCTTGAAGAAATGTTTGGGGTGTGGTCAATTGTTCTGAATGGTATGTGTCGAGTTTGACCATCAATGAGTTTATTCATGTGACACTATTCAATATGTTCATTGTGTTAAGCCACTGCAATAATGTGCTTTTGGTTTCAGTTGGTTTGTGTGGAGTGGCTTTACTGGTTTGAGGTCCAGGGACTCCAATAAGGAGACTGTCTTTAAGTCAAGTCATTAATATTTCTAAAATATCTATTGTTACAGTGGTTAAATACAGTGGTTAACTGTTCTTTATTTTTTCTACCATCAGATGTGCAGTGTATTGTTTGTCACTGTTTTTGGTCATCTGGTGAACTTGGTCAGCTGTATCTCTGTGAAAGCACTGTTGTATTTCAGAAAGCCATCTAGTGGAAGTAGCAGATCAGTCATTTTGAATGCGTGTTATTTATCTGTGTCAAACAAGCAAACCATCAAACCAATCACCTGAGCTTTAGTAAACTGTGCTCGTTCTTTCTATTTGCCTCTACTGTTGCCTAGAACCTGTCCGACATTTAGATGTTACAATTGTAATAAACATTTTATAGTTTTGATAAGGTGTGGTCTGGTTCGTTGCATTGCCCAGAACTGTTGACACAACTCAATATGTGGCCTGTCACCAACCTGTGTGTCGTATGTTCTGGTTGAGGTGTTCCCCCTCATTAAACAGGGGGGAGGCTGGGGCTGTAGGGGGGGGGGGACTGTAAGAGGGAAGCTGGGGCTGTAAGAGGGAGGCTGGGGCTGTAAGGGGGAGGCTGGAAACAGCAGAGTTGGGGACATGGAGAGGGAAGCTGGGGAGGTGTGGGCAGGGCCCGGGTACATGTAATAGGGGTAGGCTTGGGTTAAACCGGGGGCGTGGTGTGGGAGACGGGGGTAGGGGACATTAAGCAGCCTCTAGAAGTTTTGGACCAGGAAGCTGTAGGCTGAGGCTGGGCCAGAGCAGGGGAGGAGACCTAATGCTGGGTTAGAAGGTTACCTTGTGGAGTCTCTGGACGTTTTGGACCAGGAAGCGGTAGGCGTTGTACCAGGGGAGGAAGACGTCCTTCAGAACATCTCTGACTCCTTCCTCTTTGAAACGCAGGTTCTCAGCTCTCACTACCGGGGAGTTGATTAGGTAGAGCCTGGAGGGACAGGGGGGGGGCATAAAAGAAAGAGTGTCATCTCAGCATCTGGTTGCCAAGAGGATTTTCCTCCCCTCTCACCTCTCCTCACCAGGAGACTAATCACCTTGTTCCTGGGCTTTTATTCAGCAGAGATCACAGCGGTGTGTGTGTGGTATTGACTGGAGTACTCCAGAGAAGTTGCAGTAACAGAGGGTTCCAGTGAATCACTGTGATGATTGTAATAAGACATCAGCACTAGCAGAACACTGCCAGTGTTTTAACTGGAGAGGCTAGCAGAACACTGCCAGTGTTTTAACTGGAGAGGCTAGCAGAACACTGCCAGTGTTTTAACTGGAGAGGCTAGCAGAACACTGCCAGTGTTTTAACTGGAGAGGCTAGCAGAACACTGCCAGTGTTTTAACTGGAGAGGCTAGCAGAACACTGCCAGTGTTTTAACTGGAGAGGCGAGCAGAACACTGCCAGTGTTTTAACTGGAGAGGCGAGCAGAACACTGCCAGTGTTTTAACTGGAGAGGCTAGCAGAACACTGCCAGTGTTTTAACTGGAGAGGCTAGCAGAGCAGATGTCCAGATACTTGTTCACTTCTCATGAATTTACAAGGCAAGTAACATGAACTGTAACATGCTGGGGTCTGTGTTAGCTAGTCTGTCCTGATTCTCCCAGATATACATATAATTTAAGTTGTTAATAATAAATTGTTTCAAGAGCATATAGTGGGATTACAGCCTGCCTTATTCACTAACCATACGGTGGGATTACAACCTGCCTTATTCACTAACCATACGGTGGGATTACAGCCTGCTTTATTCATTAACCATACGGTGGGATTACAACCTGCCTTATTCATTAACCATACGGTGGGATTACAACCTGCTTTATTCATTAGCCATACGGTGGGATTACAGCCTGCCTTATTCACTAACCATACGGTGGGATTACAGCCTGCTTTATTCACTAACCATACGGTGGGATTACAGCCTGCCTTATTCACTAACCATACGGTGGGATTACAACCCTGCTTTATTCATTAACCATACGGTGGGATTACAGCCCTGCCTTATTCATTAACCATACGGTGGGATTACAACCCTGCTTTATTCATTAACCATACGGTGGGATTACAGCCTGCTTTATTCATTAACCATACGGTGGGATTACAGCCTGCCTTATTCATTAGCCATACGGTGGGATTACAACCCTGCCTTATTCACTAACCATACGGTGGGATTACATCCTGCTTTATTCACTAACCATACGGTGGGATTACAGCCTGCTTTATTCACTAACCATACGGTGGGATTACAGCCTGCCTTATTCACTAACCATACGGTGGGATTACACCCTGCTTTATTCATTAACCATATGGCAATGCCACTGTGTCAGTATAGAGTTTACCTCAGGGCATCGGCTCCATAGTTGTTCACTACCAGAGCAGGATCAGGGTAGTTCTTCTTCCGTTTACTCATTTTCTGTCCATCGCTGAGAGACACAGAAAATAAATAGTATAATGAGGCAAGTTCTTCCAGGTCAGTGTTTGATCGATCTCTCTCTCTCTCTATATATATATATATATATATGAGAGCAGAATATACTGGTTAGATATTGGCTATAATGAGTAAGTCCCAAAATGCCACCCTATCCCCTGTATGGTGCACTACTTTTGGTATAGGCCCTGGTCAAAAGTAGTGCACTATATAGGGGATAGAGTGGCATTTGGGACTCACACATTAACAATACTCTCATTATTATAGAAGAGAACTTTACTGTAACATATTATGTAGCAGGGCTTTACGGCACCCTTCCACTGTCTCTCACAAGACAAGATTAACTGACCAGCACCAGTCCGTGTGTGTGTGGTGTGTTGGGGGGACAAGATTAACTGACCTGGCGAGCACCAGTCCGTTGACGATGACGTTCTTGAACGGTGGTTTACCAAACAGAGCCGTGGACAACACCAGGAGAGTGTAGAACCTAAAGCAGGGAACAGTTTACCATCAAATTAGGGAGAGACAGGGAACTGTACAGATCAACACACGGTCATAGGGCTGCCTGTAAGGCTGAGGTCTGGAGGGAAGAGACAGGGAACAGTCAACACACGGTCATAGGGCTGCCTGTAAGGCTGAGGTCTGGAGGGAGAGACAGGGAACAGTCAACACACGGTCATAGGGCTGCCTGTAAGGCTGAGGTCTGGAGGGAAGAGACAGGGAACAGGTCAACACACGGTCATAGGGCTGCCTGTAAGGCTGACGTCTGGAGGGAAGAGACAGGGAACAGGTCAACACACGGTCATAGGGCTGCCTGTAAGGCTGAGGTCTGGAGGGAAGAGACAGGGAACAGGTCAACACACGGTCATAGGGCTGCCTGTAAGGCTGATGTCTGGAGGGAGAGACAGGGAACAGGTCAACACACGGTCATAGGCTGCCTGTAAGGCTGAGGTCTGGAGGGAAGAGACAGGGAACAGGTCAACACACGGTCATAGGGCTGCCTGTAAGGCTGATGTCTGGAGGGAGAGACAGGGAACAGGTCAACACACGGTC